CTTGACAGTGCCTCTCCCACTCTATCATCTGCTCTCCTTTTGCACTCTCACCACTCTCTTTACATTTCTTTTACTCTCCATATACTCTGCTCTTCTTATAACACTTCTGCTTTGTAAAAACCTCTCATAAGCTACCTTTTTCTCTTTTATCACACCCTTTACTTCATCATTCCACCAGTCACTCCTCTTTCCTCCTGCCCCCACCCTCCTATAACCACAAACTTCTGCCCCACATTCTTCAACCCCCCCACTACTCATCTTTGCACTAGCCCACCTTTCTGCCAATAGTCGCTTGTATCTCACCCGAACTTCCTCCTCCCTTAGTTTATACACTTTCACTTCCCTCTTACTTGTTGTTGCCACCTTCCTCTTTTCCCATCTACCTCTTACTCTAACTGTAGCTACAACTAAATAATGATCCGATATATCAGTTGCCCCTCTATTAACATGTACATCCTGGAGCCTACCCATCAACTTTTTATCCACCAATACATAATCTAACAAACTACTTTCATTACGTGCTACATCATAGCTTGTATATTTATTTATCCTCTTTTTCATAAAATATGTATTACTTATTACCAAATTTCTTTCTACACATTGCTCAATTAAAGGCTCCCCATTTACATTTACCCCTGGCACCCCAAAATTACCTACTACACTCTCCATAACATTTTTACCCACTTTAGCATTGAAATCCCCAACCACCATTACTCTCACACTTGATTCAAAACTCCCCACGCATTCACTCAACATTTCCCAGAATCTCTCTCTCTCTCCTCTACACTTCTCTCTTCTCCAGGTGCATACACACTTACTATAACCCACTTTTCACATCCAATCTTTATTTTACTCCACATAATCCTTGAATTTATACATTTGTAGTCCCTCTTTTCCTGCCATAGCTTATCCTTCAACATTATTGCTACTCCTTCTTTAGCTCTAACTATTTGAAACCCCTGACCTAATCCCATTTATTCCTCTCCACTGAAACTCTCCCACCCCCTTCAGCTTTGTTTCACTTAAAGCCAGGACATCCAGTTTCTTCTCATTCATAACATCCACATTCATCTCTTTCTTATCATTTGCACAACATCCACGCACATTCAGACTTCCCACTTTGACAAATTTTCTTCTTATTCTTTTTAGTAATCTTTACAGGAAAAGGGGTTACTAGCCCATTGTTCCCGGCATTTTAGTTGACTTTTACAACACGCATGGCTTACGGAGGAAAAATATATATAAGCGACTATTGGCAGAAAGGTGGACTAGTGCAAAGATGAGTAGTGGGGGGGTTGAAGAGGGTTGGAATAGTTTTAAAAATGCAGTATTAGAATGTGGGGCAGAAGTTTGTGGTTATATGAGGGTGGGGGCAGGAGGAAAGAGGAGTGATTGGTGGAATGATGAAGTAAAGGGTGTGATAAAAGAGAAAAAGGTAGCTTACGAGAGGTTTTTACAAAGCAGAAGTGTTATAAGAAGAGCAGAGTATATGGAGAGTAAAAGAAAGGTGAAGAGAGTGGTGAGAGAGTGCAAAAGGAGAGCAGATGAAAGAGTGGGAGAGGCACTGTCAAGAAATTTTAATGAAAATAAGAAAATTTTTTGGGAGTGAGTTAAACAAGTTAAGAAAGCCTAGGAAAAGTATGGATTTGTCAGTTAAAAACAGAGTAGGGGAGTTAGTAGATGGGGAGATGGAGGTATTAGGTAGATGGCGAGAATATTTTGAGGAACTTTTAAATGTTAAGGAAGAAACAGAGGCAGTAATTTCATGCACTGGTCAGGGAGGTATAACATCTTTTAGGAGTGAAGAAGAGCAGAATGTAAGTGTGGGGGAGGTACGTGAGGCATTACGTAGAATGAAAGGGGGTAAAGCAGCTGGAACTGATGGGATCATGACAGAAATTTTAAAAGCAAGGGGGGATATAGTGTTGGAGTGGTTGGTACTTTTGTTTAATAAATGTATGAAAGAGGGGAAGGTACCTAGGGATTGGCAGAGAGCATGTATAGTTATTTTATATAAAGGGAAAGGGGACAAAAGATACTTTGAAAATTATAGAGGAATAAGTTTACTGAGTATACCAGGAAAAGTGTACGGTAGGGTTATAATTGAAAGAATTAGAAGTAAGACAGAATGTAGGATTGCGGATGAGCAAGGAGGTTTTAGAGTGGGTAGGGGATGTGTAGATCAAGTGTTTACATTGAAGCATATATGTGAACAGTATTTAGATAAAGGTAGGGAAGTTTTTATTGCATTTATGGATTTAGAAAAGGCATATGATAGAGTGGATAGAGGAGCAATGTGGCAGATGTTGCAAGTATATGGAATAGGTGGTAAGTTATTAAATGCTGTAAAGAGTTTTTATGAGGATAGTGAGGCTCAGGTTAGGGTGTGCAGAAGAGAGGGAAAATACTTCCTGGTAAAAGTAGGTCTTAGACAGGGATGTGTAATGTCACCATGGTTGTTTAATATATTTATAGATGGGGGTGTAAAGGAAGTAAATGCTAGGGTGTTTGGGAGAGGGGTGGGATTAAATTTTGGGTAATCAAATTCAAAATGGGAATTGACACAGTTACTTTTTGCTGATGATACTGTGCTTATGGGAGATTCTGAAGAAAAATTGCAAAGGTTAGTGAATGAGTTTGGGAATGTGTGTAAAGGTAGAAAGTTGAAAGTGAACATAGAAAAGAGTAAGTTGATGAGGGTGTCAAATGATTTAGATAAAGAAAAATTGGATATCAAATTGGGGAGGAGTATGGAAGAAGTGAATGTTTTCAGATACTTGGGAGTTGACGTGTCGGCGGATGGATTTATGAAGGATGAGGTTAATCATAGAATTGATGAGGGAAAAAAGGTGAGTGGTGCATTGAGGTATATGTGGAGTCAAAAAAAGTTATCTATGGAGGCATAGAAGGGAATGTATGAAAGTATAGTAGTACCAACACTCTTATATGGGTGTGAAGCTTGGGTGGTAAATGCAGCAGAGAGGAGACAGTTGGAGGCAGTGGAGATGTCCTGTTTAAGGGCAATGTGTGATGTAAATATTATGCAGAAAATTCGGAGTGTGGAAATTAGGAGAAGGTGTGGAGTTAATAAAAGTATTAGTCAGAGGGCAGAAGAGGAGTTGTTGAGGTGGTTTGGTCATTTAGAGAGAATGGATCAAAGTAGAATGACATGAAAAGCATATAAATCTATAGGGGAAGGAAGGCGAGGTAGGGGTCGTCCTCGAAAGGGTTGGAGAGAGGGGGTAAAGGAGGTTTTGTGGGCGAGGGGCTTGGACTTCCAGCAAGCGTGCGTGAGCATGTTAGATAGGAGTGAATGGAGACGAATGGTACTTGGGACCTGACGATCTGTTGGAGTGTGAGCAGGGTAATATTTAGTGAAGGGATTCAGGGAAACCGGTTATTTTCATATAGTCGGACTTGAGTCCTGGAAATGGGAAGTACAATGCCTGCACTTTGAAGGAGGGGTTTGGGATATTGGCAGTTTGGAGGGATATTTGTAGATGAATGGTTCAGAGAACCGACATGTTGATAAATTAGACACATGTACAACTCTTGGGTATCTTTATTGAGGAAACGTTTCGCCACACAGTGGCTTCATCAGTCCATACAAAGGAGAATCTTGAAGAACAGGAGGAGAATGAGGTAATTACCTCATTCTCCTCCTGTTCTTCAAGATTCTCCTTTGTATGGACTGATGAAGTCGTTGGAGGGATATGTTGTGTATCTTTATACGTATATGCTTCTAAACTGTTGTATTCTGAGCACCTCTGCAAAAGCAGTGATAATGTGTGAGTGTGGTGAAAGTGTTGAATGATGATGAAAGTATTTTCATTTTGGGGATTTTCTTTCTTTATTGGGTCACCCTGCCTCGGTGGGAGACGGCCGACTTGTTGAAAAAAAAAGAAAAAAATATGTATATATACATATATATATATTTTTTTTTTTTCAACAAGTCGGCTGTATATATAGATATATGTGTGTGTATATTTATTTATTTATTTATTTATTTTATTTATTTATTATATCATCCTGCTCTTAAAGCTAAAACGACAAATATATATATATATTTTTTTTTTCTAGCGCTGTGAGTTGCTACTTTAATTGTAAATGCAAACAATAGCGTTTGGTTGAGAGCTGTTCATCTTCTGCTTTTTGTGTTTCTAAGTGTTTATTTACTATGTGAAGATTATATTATATCATATGTCGGCCAGCGTATTCTTTTTTGTTTTGTTCTGCACACTAGATGTTCGTTTTTTAAGTCTATCTGTAACAGTGATGTCATTTAGCATGATCTATAACTCCGATTTACTAATGTTCACCAAAGCTTTGTTTATATACAGAAGATGAGCACACAGTGGTACTTTGCAGTTATTGAAAAGTTACAAGTTTTAGGATTTATTGAAACATTATGGCCATAGATTTCAATATTTTTTTACTTTTTTACACATTTATAGACAACACAAGTTTTCCTTGTAAATGGTCAGCAATCCAAGAAGTGTTTTATTATTATTATATTATTATTATTATTATTAATTATTATTATTAATTATTATTATTATTAATTATTTTTAATAAATAATGCAAACAATGTTACAGAACTTGCTTATAAAAATTGCATTCGCCATATTGAGTTTCACGGAAATGGTAATTTTTAAATTTATTAACACTGAGAAGACAAAATCTTTAACATTGGACTCGTGTTTATCACACTCCAGCACTTAAAACGATCACACCGTCTCGTAAATGTGCTTTGATAAAGATTGGCAAATGAATTATATTGTATATACTGTATTTAATATTAATATTAATTTTTTGAAACAACATTTAGCTTTTACATTAATTGGTTTGTTTATCGTACTCTACACAATATCAATTTTTTTATTACTTTCATAGCTAAGATTGTGTTCAGATATTTTATATGTTATTATGATTAGATTCAAGGTAGATAAAAACAAGTGTGATTTGAAGTATTTAACATTCTTGTTTTTTCCTATCTCCAGCAGTAGCCAAGGTCAAGGGTACTCGTGTTTCTACACCAAAGTCAGCACGCAAAGGCACACCCAAAGCTGCTGGTAAGACCTCAGCGAAAACCCCATTGAAGAGCACTGCAAAAGCTACACCGAAGGCTGCTGTTCCACCAAAGGCGACACCCAAGGCTGCTGTTCCTCCAAAGGCGACACCCAAGGCTGCTGTTCCTCCAAAGGCGACACCCAAGGCTGCTGTTGCACCAAAGGCGACACCCAAGGCTGCTGTTCCACCAAAGGCCACACCCAAAGCTGCTGTTTCTCCCAAAACCACTCCAAAATTGGGAAGGCGGGCAACTCGCAAATAGCCCGAGGAAAATATGGGGGAGTCCCAGGGAAATAGCCAACAGCCAAAACCACGGGGAATGAGGGCACCAAATGACCTGACCACATGCATAAGGCTGATGCTGTTAGCAAAATAGGTACTCGTCCAATTATCAAATTAAGGAAATTGTCAGACTTTTTGAATTGAAGAAATTCATGAAGCTGTAGTGTGCAAGCCTTACTGCATATACCAATGATGGAGGCAGAAAAAGGCTTTTTGTAAATGAGCATTCTTAACTCCCTCCCCTTCCCCTCCCCTTTCCCTTAGCATCATTGTGTAATTGTTATTGTTTGTAAATGTTAGTCTGTTTTCCTCCATCCTCCCCTCTACCCTCCATTCCTCCCATTTTACAACAAAATGGCCATTCATTATTGGAATGTATGAAGAATCATTTCTTGTGTATATGAGTGGTTGAGAGAGAACTCATGAATGATTGTGCGAATGTTCGTGTACAAAACTGAGAGGGGTAATTGTAACAGTTTAAATTAATTAGAGGATAGGTTATGTTCAGAGTACATATTAATGTTTAATCTATTGTATATGTATAATAGTTCTCAATGTACAACTCAAACTTTTTATATCATTACAAGAGTGGCATTCTCTCTCCCTTCTCACTTTTTTTTTTCTAACACCTGAGGAAGTCTATAGGTTGAGGAAATCTTCAGGTTATGATGCCTAGAATTGAGGAAGTCCTCAGGTACAGAAAGTTTCCAGGTTGAGATTTGTAGGGTTGAGGAAGTCCTCAAGTTAAGAAGTCTAAGGTTGATGAAGTCTTTCTAGAGTGGGGAAACCCTCATGATTGTGGAAGCCTTGGGGTCTTATTGGTGTGTTACAGAGACTGTTACTTACTGCTCAACGTAAACTGAACTTTGGGGAAAGTATCCACAAATTGTGAGTGAAGTAGAAAGTACTCTGTAAGAATTGAAGAGTTATTTATCATAAAAGTTTATGCACCTGTATGAGAAAGAAGCACTTCACTATTTTTGTAAATTGGGTGATTTACAGAGTTTGAGTTTGTATACTTTCTTAATGAATATATAAACTGATTGGTTTTGCAATTACTATTATTATTATTCTTAATCTTTTATCAAATTTTTTCCTTTATTTTTTGAAGTGGAAATGCAATATCTTGCTACTGTTACTGCACGATTACTACTTGCACTACAGTATTGAGCAATTGGTTTAGGAACTACCAAACTGTAGCATAGTTATGCCTCTGCCCTCTACTCAGAATGAGGAAATGTGAAAAACCAAGGCACACTGCTCATTGTGAGTGGTCTCTTGTACAAACTCAAGTGATGTAGAGGGCAGGGTAAAGTAGGCTGTACATAAGTAATGACCCGTAACATTGATGTATTGTCTTGATTGTAGGTGTGTGACTTATGAATGGTGTTTATGTTACAGACTTTTGAGCTATAATTCTTAGAGAACACTTGAGTGATGACTTTTAACATTGAGAAATCCATCCTGATATTCCCCAACAAGTGAAAATAACATGCCAACTCATAAATTAGCTATTAAGGTCCATTGTTTCAGGCATTGAGGTGCATTTTCTGCTTGTACATCTAAATCTATCTTGAGATAATAGATGATATACCATTATAAGTGATAATTACATTCAAGTTGTGTTTTAAGAATTTAGGTCTTGGAGCATATCTGGGCTTTGGTGGAAATGTGCTAAGAGTGAGTGGGAACACCAAGCCCTATTTTATCTTATAAGCCTGGATTTTAGGCATTGATCTGGTGCATATGAGGATTGTTAAGAGAATCCTTGTCACGGCACTTAGGCGCTGCTTACCAGTGAACAGGGGGTAATATAGGTGGTATTATTGACCTGAGCTTATGAAGGTGAACAAACAATGAGCACTGTTACATGTTTTACCTGAGTCAATTTTAAAGTGTTGGGCTACAATCACTGATAAGCTACAACATGTAAGAGCTCATTTGTGTTTTCCATGGGTATGCGAGAATTACCAACCCAAGATGTTAGTGGAAATGACTCATTCTTTGATACATAGTGTAAAAGGAAACGGCAACAGTACTATTTAACGTGTTGCTTTTTTAACATGTTCAGTCACTTTTATACAAATCTTGAGGACTTTAGGGTATTTGTAAAGTTCAGTGTATACCCCTTCTAGTGCAAACTTATCGGGACATTTTGCTGATAGATAGTGAAGCAAGTACAAGCACATTGGTATTTTTATTTTGGTTTTAATTTTTTTTTTTTTAGTTTTTATTCTGGAGTCAGGATGATATGTTCCCATCTTTTTATTAATCATTCTAAAAATGCCTTTCAGATTTGGGCTATAAAATGTATATTTTTTCCCACTTGCCATACCCTGCTTGGACTACTACACTGAGTGAGAGAACATGCTGAAAAATTCTTTATCATAAGAGTTGTCAGCAGTGAGACTGTGTGATTGACTGCAGTTATGTGAGCCATTTGCAGAGATCAGTAACTTTAATTTACATTTTGGAAATTCAGTCATGGGGGTCAGTTTGACAAGGTTTATTTTTGTAAAAGTTTTTCATACACAACAGTTATTAGTTTTGAACTCTTCCATATCTTGACCAATCTCTGTTCACAGGAGACCTTGTGTATGTAGTGCTAAAAAATTACCTTTATTATTTTGAATGAACTAATATATATGTAAAGTTTTGTCTTAAAGGAATTTATTACACTGAACCAAGGTTTTTTTTTTTCTGTTGTATGTAAAATTTTGAAGAAAACTATTTTAAGAATTTTGTGAAAGTGTTAACCTCTCGAAAAAAAAAAAAATACCCAAGTTGTGTAAATTATGCTTTTACAATAGTTGCTATTAAAGATTATTTTGAGGAAAAGTATATATTTTTTGAATGGCAAAGATCCTTTATGAAAATGAATTAAACATTAGGAGTCTCATTGGTTACTTCATGTAACCAAGTACACTACTTTAAGTCTTGAATGCTATTTTAATTTTGGAAAGTTTGCAGAGCATCAGGTGGGCTGTCATGTGTAATTTTGACTTGTTTTTGAACCTGTTTGCTTATAAAAACTGTATATAGCATTTCAAGCAGTGTAATTAGTTCAGAATTTGAGGCCACCTGTGAGCTTAAAAAAAAAAAAAACTAATTTCTGGGTAAAAAGAAATGCTGGTGGATCAGTAACTGTCTGATAAAATGTCTAAATGCTTTAGCAATATAGCTTTTACCTTTATTTTGTTACCTTAATTTGTTTCTTTTACAAAAAAAAAAAGTCATTGGGATTGTTGTGTGAATGATGGTATCAGCAGCAGTTAAGTTTCAACCTTTTGCAACAGACCATTTCCACCTAAGTATTTTGCATACAGTAAGTAGGTCACATTGTAGCAATGTGCCATTGTTTTCATAAGTAAATATCATTGTACTGCCGAGTCTTAATTCTCCTTAACGAGTGTTGCAGGTAGTTGGTATAGTTGGTATCTCATAGTTTTTGAAGTGAAGCCTATATGATGTTGTCAGTACAGTAGTACCAACATTATATGGTGGTGTTCGGTATGTTGATGCTGGTGAGAGACTTGAGGAACTGGATCCATCCTCTCTGATCTGAAGTATAACCTGGTGTTCTGGGGTCAGCGCCCCTGCAGCCCGGTTCATGACCAGGCCTCGTGGTGGATCAGGACCTGGTCGACTAGGCTGTTACTACTGGCCACATGTAAACTCATATGAACCACAGCCCGACTAGTCAGGAACTGACTAGGTGCCTGTCCAGCTCTTTGAAGAAAGGGTGCTTCCCATGAAAGGGGGTCTCTGTCACCCCTATGAATTGAGTGCCCCTCCATGAATGTAATAAGATAGCTAAATGTTTGGTTAGACTCGAGTTACTATCTATGAAGTCCTCTCTCTCCTCTTCCTCAGATCAAACCTGATTACCCCTTTATTGGTGCTTTATATTCTCTATGGGTTTAGTGCTTTGCCATAATTTTTAACACATTTTCCCACCGAAGCAAGGTGACCCAGAAACACTTTCATCGTCACTCCATCACTGTATTGTAGTTACATGTTTGTAACTGTCAGTCTGTAGCTACAGGAGCAGCACTGTGCTTGTAATGTCCCATCTTCAAGAATTTGTTTTGAATATTTTCAATGATTGTAGTTTGCTACTTCTAATTCCTTCATTTTCTTTCATTTCATTCATTGGAGGGTTCCACATAGAGCACTTCCTATCTGGTGAAATGTAGATGTATGAGGAGTTACCGATTCGGTACCCCTTCAAAAGTGCCTTGATGCTTGTTAAAGGGCTCTTGATCTAATGGAATTTCACCTGTCATCCCTTTGAACCAGATTGCCACGTTCTCCATGGTCTGAATTATGCGTACAAGTTTAGTGCTTCCTCTGTGATAGTAAGGTAAGTGTAGTTATACGAATTTATCATATACCAGTACCCCAGGTAACCCATTCTGTGTGTGGTCAAACCATACCCGTCTTATGTGGTCACCCCATAATCTACGCATGTGTGGTCACTCCATACCCATCCTGTGAGTGGTCACCATACCCATCCTGTGAATGGTCACCCCATACCCATCCTGAGTGTGTGGTTACCCCATACCCATCCTCTGGGCAGTGGTCACCTTATTAGAGACAGGCACATAATGGTAACAATGGGTGTTACGACTAACGTAATGGGTGCTGGGAATGGGGTAACAATGGGTGCTGGGAATGGGGTAACAATGGGTGCTGGGAATGGGGTAACAATGGGTGCTGGGAATGGGGTAACAATGGGTGCTGGGAATGGGGTAACAATGGGTGCTGGAATGGGGTAACAATGGTGCTGGGAATGGGGTAACAGTAGGTCTCTGATGGGGTCGGTAACATTATAATGAGTGCTGGTAATGGATCAAGATCAAAATCGGTTGGGGGTCGAAGCTGAGCAGCGCCATTCTGTAATGTTGACCTCTAGAACACGGCTCAATAAGGGACAGGTCTGTGTGTTCCCCATCCCGTCACACCCCCCCCAAGATGCCAAATCCCCGACCTCTCCATCCAGACAATCACCGCCTCTGAATACTGGTCGCTTGGCTAATCATAATCAGTCTAAGAGAGTGGCTCGATGCTAGTGAGGTGGTCTTGATTTAGGGAACGAGGTACTAGATTTAAACTAGCGACTATTCGCGCAGGCAGCGTGACTCATATGGGTTTAGCGCTTCCTCGAATGTGAAAATGGGAGGAGGACGCGTCCCCAGCCAGCCAATAGGAAGCTGCCTCACAAGACCACTGGGACTGTAGACCCCCTTCAAGGTATAGCGCCTTGAGGGCAGTAAAGCACTTTTGATCTGAGGAAACAGAGCTATCCTCCATTTCCTCGGATGGAAATTGATGAGTGTCATTTCTCGAGGTTGGTTATTACCCATGAGGGTTTAGGGGGATGCGCAATAGAGATGTAATAAAGAGACCAATGAGGATGAAGGTCTGATGCTGGGCGGGCCAATCAGGAGTGTTGGAGGCAGCGCGCCAAGCGTCTGTTAGTGTTGACGTGAGTCTCACAACATAGTTGACTATTGCTGTTTTCCTCCACAAATACCGTGAGTATGCTGACTCTACGAGCTCTTCATAGGTTTTAATGGTGCCACGGGGTGGGGGAAACAGTGCCGCTTGTGTGGTGGAGGTGAGGGAGACGGGAGAAGGACGTGTTGGAGGAGAAACTGGTGAAAGATGGAGGAGAGACGTTCAAAAGTGGCGGGGGACGCGACCACGGCGTCCACACCTCACTACCCCCTCCCTTATCCCCCTTACCCTCCATTTACCTCACCTTCCCTCCATTTACCTCCCCTTCCCTCCATTTACCTCCCCTTCCCTCCCTCACCCACCTTACTACCTGCTCACCTGAGAAAACTATTATAAAAGACCCCAGTGGAACAAGTCACTCGGACTTTTTTTTTAGGTTTGTCCTGGAGGGTAATATACACTATGTACAATAATTGTAAAAAAGGAAAAGGACACAATACCTTGACTGGAACAATATATAAATAACTCGCACGTAAGAGAGAGAAGCTTATTACGACGTTTCGGTCCGACATGACCGTAAATTGTCCAAGTTGGACCGAAATGTCGCAAGCTCCTGTGTGCGGGTTATTTGTATATAATAATTGTATTTATGTGTACTTGTACCTATATGAAACTTATAATGTAAGGAAAAAACAGTGAAGACTGTTGCAACATCCAAGTTTTTTTTTTTACCAGTGAGTCGACCATTCCATCCCCTCAAGGCAGGTTCCTTGACGCTGGTGAGGGGCTCTTGATCTAGGGAACTGGATCTGTGCTCCAGTTCCCTGAATTAACCTTGAATACCTTCCATCCCCCCTTCCACAGGCGCTGTATAATCCTATAGGTTTACCGCTTCCCCATGATTATCGTAATTATCCAAGTTAATAAAATTTTTATTTTAGCATGATAAATGTACATATATACAAAGGAGTGTAACAATTTGGCCCCTCAGAGAAGGTTCCTTGATGCTGGTGAGGGGCTCTTGATCTGGGGAACTTGATTTTTGTTCCAGTTCCCCAAATTGAGTCTGAATGCCTTCCATCCCCCCATAGGAACTGTATAATCCCTACGGGTTTAGCGCTTCCCATGATTAGTAACAATTTGGCGAACATGCCAAAAGCCCCTTTATATGCAGAACATTTCGGGCAAGTTGACCTTATTACAGTAACCTCTCTTATAAACCTACGTATAGTGTAAGTATTCAAGTGTACATGTACACATAAGTACAGGTACATAAATGATCATACATAGCATATATGTACATTACCTAAGATACCCCAAGGAAAAGTTGACTTATTTCCATTGGGATCCTTTTTTTTTTTTTTTTTTTTTTTTTTTTTTTTTTTTTTTTTTTTTTTTTTTTCAAATGCAATCGAAAAAGTACGTAAAGACTGAGGCACAGGTCCAGTTCCTTAGATCAAGAGCCCCTCACTAGCATTTCGCGAGAGGTTTTCAACTATTTAAGTTTATTTAGGCACGGGTATATACAAGTAGTACTATGATCATACATAGTGTAAATTACCAAGGATGACCCAAAACAAAATGACATTTTCATTGGAGTCCTTGATAATTTTAATTGTGGTCCTTGATTATTTCTTTTGGGTCCATTCTTTCCATTGGGGCCCTTGCTTATTTCAATTTTGGATCCTTGTTTATTTCCATTTTGGATCCTTGACTATTTCCATTTTAGATCCTTGATTATTTCTATTTTGGAGCCTTGATTATTTCCATTTTTTTGTCCTTGACTGTTTCCATTTTGGATCCTTGACTATTTCCATTTTGGAGCCTTGGTTATTTCCATTTTGGATCCTTCATTATTTCCATTTTGGATCCTCATTTCCATTTTGAATCCTTGATTATTTCCACTGGGGTCTGAATATTTCCGCTGGGATCACTACCTATTCTGTTGGGTGTCTTTTCATTTCAGGGTCCACAAGTAACCATTATACTGGATAATGGTCTGAGACCTTGGGTGGTTGGCGGCCACAGTGATTAGCATCTCTTAATGATAAGCGATTTTGTTCGGATCTTTAACCTGGAGGGTTTGTCACCCAAGATAACCCAGTGAAGTCCGTTCGTCATCGAGGACTCTCAGTCTTATTTCCATTATGATACTTTTATCTCCCCCAGGATGCCACCCACAACAGTCCACTAACACTCAGATACCTACTTACTGTTAAGTGAACAGGGACAACAGGAGTAAGGTAACTAACACTCAGGTACATACTGGTAGGTGAACAGGGACAACAGGAGTAAGGTAACTAACACTCAGGTACATACTGTTAGGTGAACAGGGACAACAGGAGTAAGGTAACTAACACTCAGGTACATACTGGTAGGTGAACAGGGACAACAGGAGTAAGGTAACTAACACTCAGGTACATACTGATAGGTGAACAGGGGCAGCAGGAGTAAGGTAACTAACACCCAGGTACCTACTTAACTGTTAGGTGAACAGGGGCAACAGGTATAAGGAAACATGCCCAACATTTCGCTCGTGCCGGAGATGATTCCCTGACCCTCAGTGTGTGGGTCATTGTAAACACCATGAGTAAGTTGGTTAGACTCAGGTACGCACAAATACAATTATCATACGTAGTGTAAATTAGTCGTGTCCAGTGTAAGCAGTTTTTTATATTAAAGTGACTTGTCAGGACAATTATTATTATTATTTTATATTCAACTTAAGCTCTAATCTCGTAAGGGAAGTTGCAGGTTCCAAGGTAAGAACAGCTCTCATTCTTTGGATCAGGATCCTTTAACCAGCATGAAGATATTTCCCCCTTCTCCCCACCCACTGAAGGGGGTAAGGCCATAGAGAATAGTCATCGTTACTTTGTTAGATGGGGGCTACTGGTTACCTGGAGGTTATTCCGGGGATCAA